AGTTACATTCCCATTGGCAATTGCTGTCCATGTTCTGGTTTGGTCTACCTCACCACGTTGCTAATCTCAAAAGAGAATAGGGCTTGAATTTTCTGCTGAATGGCTAGAAACATCTGCCTCTTGGTTTCGGCTCAGGTCATGGTCTCAGTGTTGTGAGATGGAGCCCTGCAAGAATCTGCTTGAGATTCTATCCCTCTCCTTCGCCCCACCCCCACTCCCCGCTAAAATTAATTAATTAAATCTTAAAAAAAAAAAAAAAGTCAGGATCTTTAGGGCTAGCTGGAAGCCAGAAGCCAAGGATTGGCTTCTTCTGATAAGCTATCCACACCTTCCTATCTAGTTGTCCCATTAAGAACTGTATCCAGGGGCGCCTGGGTGGCTCAGTTGGTTAAGCGACTGCCTTCGGCTCAGGTCATGACCCAGGAGTCCCTGGATCGAGTCCCGCATCGGGCTCCTTGCTCAGCGGGGAGTCTGCTTCTCCCTCTGACTCTCCTCCCTCTCATGCTCTCTGTCTTTCATTCTCTCTCTCTCAAATGAATAAAATAAAATCTTTAAAAAAAAAAAAAGAACTGTATCCAGATTTCAATCTTGAGAAGAGGGATTCAAGATGGCCGCTCACATAGCAGGAGAGAAATGCACAGGCCCTCAGGTTCACAAATGTCATGAAAGTCGGGATGAGGTGATGGGTTCAGTGTGATCATGTTTCAAGCCGAAGGAACCATTTCAGAGACGTATAATCCTTAACTACTGGCCACAGGTGCCTGAAGGTAAGTCTCGTCAAACCACTGATTTGACAAACCATTCCTTGTCTTTATTTCTCCAGTGGAAAAATCCCATCTCTCCCATTCCAAAATCTCTTATTCCTTAGGGTCAAAAAGCGACTTCTGGGCTCAGGGCTCAGGTCCCCACCCACTTGGTCTGGTAGAGACCTGTCAGGTGTTTGTCTAGTTAGAAATGCACTGCTCACATTACCTGAGCTGTGTGGTACGTGGCCAGGTACACAGGAGGGCTGTCATCCCATCCAACCCTGCAGCTCAGCCTCTTCCTCTACGCCCCCACGTTAAGAGAGCGGCCAAGGAGACAGAGGGAAGGGGGTGCCCTGCTGATCAGGGTTCAGAACCCATGTGTTAGAGGTGACACATGAAAACCCAGGAAATAGACTTGCCCTGAAAGTAATGGTCACTGGGAGAGGGATGGATGGTCAATAAAGAAATGCCAATTTGTCCCCAGCTTCCCACAGCCCACTACATGATTCCTTCACAACCCTGCCCATGGCATGGCTAAGCTGCATCTTTGTGCTATGATCACTCCAGGCCCCATGGTACCCCAGAACTTGACTGTCGCTCAAGCTCAGCCCTCAATCTGTGGCAGGAGTGTTCTCTTTCCACATCTATGTCCATGGCCCTTGCGTGATTGTGAGCTGACAAGTACAGTGCTATGTCCCCTCCTGCTTGTCTCGTAATGCCTTTTCCCGCAGAGCTCTCCACCCTTGGAGTTCAGACATCTGAAGGTCAACCAAGGTAGAAGAGCGGGAGGGTCTACGATTTTTTAAACAATATTTCAAAACTAGTACGAGAAATCCTATCTTATAATAAGGTCTCACAGGCTACTCAACAGATCAAGCTTCTTTGGTTTTTTTCTGGAATGATGTCAATGTAGAGTGGTAACAACTTATGGTCCCATGCTAAAAGGTCTGACTGATGTTTCCTGGATTGATTTTTAAAAAGCAAAACCAAATTAGCACTTAGACCTCATACAAACAGGTTGTTTGCAGCTGACTTCACAGGAAGCTCCATCCCCCCCCTCCCCACCACAATCCCCGCATAAAGAACCCCAACACACTGGAGAGGGAGGGTCTGCTTGCCTGGTTGGGGCTGAGCCTATGCTCCAGTTGCAAACCTCCTATTCCTTCCTCCTTTGTCACTACTGAGGAGGCAGACACTGCCTTCTGGCCCTGGGGAAGCGCTGGAAATGCCAGAGTCTGGAAATGCTAACTGCCTCTGTATTTACACACTTTACCATACATGGGAATTACTCAATGCCGACGTCAGACAAATTCCTGAGGAGCTGCGTAGTCCAGCCACGTCATTACCAGAGAAATTCCTGACAACTGGAAACCACAGGCAAAGCCTCTGGTACCTAGCACCCCCTCTCCCCGTCCTCCCTACCCACAGCTAGCTGCTGTGTGTATGTGTGTGTGTGTTTTCTCAAGCAGTCTCTTTTCCAGGCTTCTTTTCTTTCCTGCAAACCTGACCTGGAAATTCAAGCACGCATCAGACCTGGTGGAAGCATACCCACTAGGATCTGGGACCTAACATCCGGGGGTGTCTCTCTTCGCTGGCCATGTAGCAGAGTGGAAACCTAGAGGTCACGAGTTCTGTCCACGTTCACAAGAGCAAAGCCATGTCTTCCTTAAGTACTTTATAAGCCACAGCAAAGCACTTTGTAAAGTGTATTTCATAAATGGCAGATAGCTCTTTACTAACTGATCCAGAAATCGGAAATATACAGGAGCAAAGAAAAATAATAACACAATCACTGAGCATGGGTTTGGAAGGAGTTTGCCTATGTTTGAATGGAGCCTCCACGACTGACCAGTTGCGCTACTGGGCAAGTTCCTTATCACCCTGAGCTTCAGTTTCTTCATCTGTACAATGGGGAGCATTAGACTGTTCATAGATTGTTCTAGATGATACACGTGAAGGATTTAGGCCCATCTCTGGTGCATGGTAAGTGCAGTATCTGCTTATGATTACCTTAAGGGAAGGCCAACTCTAACACTTACTGTTCAGTTTTGTGACTCTCTAGGTATTTGCCAATATGCCCAAGTAATGGCAGATGGTTGACTTGGAGAAAAGGTCCTTTTGTTTTCCCTGGCAACTCTTTGTTTAGAAGACCTCACTGGCACCTCAAAATGTGTAATGCAGGACTCTTCAGTCCTCAAGCAAACCCACTTTTCACCATAAGATGGGTTTCCATGAATATTTAAAACTTCGGCAGTCTATCGCAAAAGCCTTCCCAGTTTCCTCTCCCCACCAGGAGGTCCACAGTCAATAAAAACTCTTTTTTCCCCCTCACCTGGTTCTCAGTACTACTTACAGGGAAAAACTATTTGCAAGGTTTATGAGTGTCCAGTAGGGCCACTCAGCTAAAAGCCCGTATCTACCCCTTTCATTCACCAAATGTTTGCTGACCACCCTCCACATGTCAACGCTACACTCCCAGGCCGCCACTCTGTTCCAGGGAGGACTGGCGGGCTCCAGAGGCAGATGTTTACAATTCAAAAAGGAAACACTCGGGCCAGGAAGAAAGGTACTGGGGCAAACCAGAGGCCAAAAGCTGTGGCACCCATTTTCCACACTTTATTAGCAACCTGGCTGCAGAGCTGGCGGGCCTGTTCTTGAGCTTCGCCCCTGCATCCCGTCCCCCCAAGACCCTCCGTACTGGGCCGTGTCCCCCTCCCCCTCGTGCAGGCTACACCACACCCTCTGCAGGATAAACTTCCTTCCTGGTCTAACTGTCCCCACCCCGGATATCCTCTCTGAGGCAAAGGGTCGTTCCCTGGGAAGCTGTGAGCCGTGCAAGGCTGCCCTCAGCAATGATGGGATGACAACTGCCTGAGAGCAGTCGAGGGCTGAGCACCGCCTCTCTTGAAGGAGATGACCCTGGGCTCCTGAGTCAGAGCCTGGCTAGAGAATCAGGAGGCACCTATTGAGTGAGAGCTAGGGAAGCTCAGCACCCCTGTCCCCAAATCCCAGGAGAAGCCCCCAACCTGCACTCTGAGATGCCTGAGACACGGCCAGCACGTGCAGCCTCCTCAGCTTCTGGGAAGGAAGGGGGAGGACAAGAGAGAAGACAGTCATTGAGCCCTGCTGTGTTTCACGTCTGTGCAATACATCCCCAAAGCGCCATCCCCAAAGGAAACTGAGCACCGAGAAGTTACTTCACTAGTCCAAGGTCACCAGTCTATTCAGTGGCAGATCCAACTGTCAAGACTGAGCCAGGCTGCCTTCCAAGCAATCTCTCATGGAGATTCCCAGCTGCCTCTTCATGACACGCTTTCTACCGGCGCCCAATGGATCTCCTCAGTGCCACTGCAACTGGATCCCAATGCAGAGCCCTCCAAGGGAGGGAAGGCCCTGCGGGCTCGTTCACCCCCATGGAGCAGGGGGGTGGGTGGCTGGAGCCCAGGCCGCTAGGGAGGGGCCAAGCCCAGGCTACTGCCCCCAGCCTAGACCCAGGTCCTGGTTAGCTCACAACAGCGCAGGGACCAAGAGCCTGCAGGATACTCCCCAGCCTGTTTGAGTGGATAGGACACCTGCCTCCGAGGTTGTTCGTGGGGTAACCTATTGCCACTTTAAATTTGCCCAACACCAGCTCCTTTCTTGCTCCCCAGCCTTCAAAGACTGAGGCCACCAAACACTGACGGGAGCGGGGAGCATAATCGTCCCCACCTAGCACCTAGACTTGTGGGTGGGGGCAGGTGAAATGTTGTTCCATCTGGTTCTCGAGGAAGAGTGAAAACTGACACCTGCGCTCAGGGCACAGAGGCCCCAGGCTGGGCCCTGCATCCAGATGTTTCCCCACCCCACCCGCGGGCACATTCTCCTCCCGGAGCAGGAGGGTGAGGGAGGGGGTGGCACGGATGCCCTCATCCCCCTGCGTACAATGAGCGTCAGTGGCGCGCAGAATCGCGGATTGTTCCGCTGCCAGACCTGCAGGCGGTGGGGGAGCCGGGCCACCCCCGGTCAGGCGCACGCAGGAGCCCTTTGTGCCAGGACGCCCCGAGCCGGGAGCGCCGCTCCGGCTAAGTGCGGCCGCCTGTCCCACTCCCGCGGCCCGGGACGGCCGCCTGGCCGCACCGCTTTTCCTTCCAGCGCCCCGCGGTGCCCCAGCCGTGCCCGGCGGCCGGGGAAGTCGGGCAGGCGCCGCGGGGGTGCCGCGCCGGGCCGGGGGGAGCACGGAGGGGCCGGGCACGCGCGGCCCCGGGGCGCACTCACCTGGCAGCTGGCTGCGCGGCGGGCGCGGGCGGGAACGCTCTCGGAAGCGGCGACTGGGTGCGCCCGGCCCGCGCCCCGTTTTGTTCCGCTCCGGGGAAGGCGTGTCCCGGGCCACGCCAACCAGTGGGCTTTGCACACTGCACCACACCAGGGCTGATGTCATGGCGCGAAGCCGGGCGGCGCTGCACCCCCCCGCCCCCGGACCCGGGGCGGTCAGATGCGTGGGCAGGAGACGCCGGCTCTGCCCGGGCGGACCCACTGTGCGCCCATGCGGACCCACTGCTGCTGCGGAAGCGTCTGGGGCACGTGCCTGGACCTGTCGGGGTTTTCCTGCTGGCCAGATACGAGATTGCAGATGTGAGCGGAGAGATCAGACTCCTGGTAAACTTGGGCCCCCAGTAAAAGGATGAAGGCATGGCTGGGGGGTGGGGGGGTGGAGTCTTACATTCGCATGTGCTGGTGGCAAGGTGTAAGGGACACATTTGGGCGCCAGAGTAACACAGGCTTGAGCTCTGATCTTTTCCCTTCCACTAACTAGCTGAAGCCTTGACCTAGACACCTTGCCCTTCTGGGTTTCAGGCTCTGCCTCTGTAAAAGGGGTATAATCCACAGGGATGTTGTGGGGGATAAAATGAGATCCTATGGGACCAGTAAGCCCTCAGCAGTGGCCCACCATATGAAAGATACTCAGCTGTTTACTCCTTCCTCCAACAGCTCTTGTCCCCTCAGCTTTCCCACGTCTTCCCTACTACCCAAAGGAGAGCGCCCCATCCCCAAAAGCAGCAGTTCTGGAAAGTGGGTGCCTCCCCTGGGGCTTTTCTCTGGGCTCCAAGCTTCAGTATGACAGACACAGGCTCAGGCTACTCAAAGCTGCCCTTGGAGCAGTTAGCAATGGGTATGGCACCTTCACCCAGTTCCCAGCCCTTCCTGCCTGCCTGTTATGGGCATTGCAGAGGGCAGAGAAGCTCACACCCTGCCGAGCTCCTACTTCACCCAGGGTAGAGTCTCCACCTCTTTCTTGGACTCAGGAACAGCCCAGAAACCCAATGCTCTGACCAGGGCCCCAGGCCCAGGGTGGGGAGCAGAACCAGCTCTCACGCCATTGCCACACCCCCACTGCTCCCCACCACCACCACCACCACCATGGCCCTGCCCTGCCCCTAGCAAGGAGCACTGCCCTCTGTTTGGGACTTGTGGACTTGGTTTTGGAGGAACATGGAGAATCCGAGAGGCTGATGTTCCCAGGAATGTGAAGAACGACAAAGAAGTGAGAGCCTCAGGGAGATAAAATCTTCTAGTTTCTGTTTTTTTGTAGCTCGTTCACTCTATTTCTAAGTCAAAGGGGAGCTGAAGGCTGGTGTTATCGCCTATTGTCCAGGGCTGAATGACATTATTCGCACTGAGAAATGAACTATACTCAGATCTTAGGTATACATTTCACTGATGGTGTATGCTTGGTGGGGGTGCCCGTGTGTAACTTTCTACCGCTCTCTTGGGCTCTAGAGTGTTCCCTAAGCAGGAGGTACTACAGCCTCCTTCTGCCCATAGCAGTTAATTGGGGGTAGGTCCTGGAGGGTTTGTTGGGCAGCTGGTCACCCCTCACCCCGAGTTATCTATACACGGAGCTGCCACATCTCCCAGCCTGGACAGGTGTCAGGGGCTCAGACCCTCGCAGGCTTCATTTCAAGTCCCAGAATTGCTGAATCAACTCTCATCTAGGAATAAAATCAAGCGTCTTATTATCCAGAAAATGAAGTGTTTCTCTAGGTTTTTCTTACCTTCTCCCACAAAAAAACATCTTTCCTTTGGCCAGGCCATTCATAGAAACAGGGCCCTCCAGGATTGGGAGGTCTACAAGCACCCACCAGGCCATCTTCATCTGACCCAACCAAGATGTAGAAGGAAAAGCCAGGAGAATTCTTGGCCATTCCTGCACAGAGCAAGCAATAGATCAGCAGGTACATTAAATTGCAGAACTACAGTCAGTGTCAGAGACCATGGGCTTGCTGTCCGAAGGTGGCAATCTCACGGGATTACCCTCTCTTCCAAGATCCTGGAGAGATCTTTGGGATCTTTGATGAGCTTTGAAGTCTTGCCCAAGATTTTACAAAAAGGCAAACTCCTGCATTTCCTTCTTTTTTTTTATATGTAGGTTTTTATTTATTTATTTGAGAGAGAGAGCATGAGAGGGGGGAGGGTCAGAGGGAGAAGCAGACTCCCTGCTGAGCAGGGAGCCCGATGTGGGACTCAATCCTGGGACTCCAGGATCGTGACCTGAGGAAGGCAGTCACTTAACCAACTGAGCCACCCAGGCGCACCTGCATTTTCTTCTTTGACCTGGGTTTGTCCTTTCTGTAGCCCTGGGGCCATTGGTGGATCTCCCTGGTAACAACATGCGAACCTGCGCCAGGAAGAGAGAGTGGTAACAACAGTCACGCTTGGATTTCTTCCAGAGGATCTTAACGTACCTTGTAAATAGAGTGGATATAAAATGTGTCATCCAAACTGGAATGCTTTTGATAGTGAACAGTATAGTGATGGTCTTCATAATTACCCTAAGGCAATAGAACTGTCCCAGGCCAACCAAGATGTATGGTCACCCTGCATGTTCACCCACAGACCGTGTCAGGGCACATGTCTTAGGAGCTGTTGAGGCAGAGCTGGAGATAAAGGAAGCCAGGTAGGCCCCGCTTTGTCTGTTGCTTTTCCAGAACTTCACACCTTTTGGTTGTCGCCCTCCCTGTATGCTGCCAATCATTTGGGCTTGGGTTGGATAGCTCATTTGCAGATAAAGAAGACTCAGGAAATCAGGCAGGACTTTAGGACTGAGGTGAATCAAAGGTGTTCTGGGGTCATCAACCGTGCAAACAGGCATGAGCCCGATGTTGAAATCACACAAAAGGCCAGTAAACACCATCAACACTTAGAACATCACACCAGCTGAAATTCTTAGGGCGGAGATACTCATTCTGGCTGACCTCAGTTAGGTAACTGTGCCCTGACTGGCTCCGCCCACCGCTGCAGAGATAATACAGAGCTCATCACCGAGAGATTCTCTGCTGAGGGTTCTAGAAGGAGATCTGGCACACACAGGGGCTTGGTTGCTTCTCTGGACTCTCAAAAATGTCTAAACATTTCAGTATCTTCACCTGCTCTCTGTGCACTCTAGCCCCCAGTGTCCCAGGATTGGAACCTAGCCACTGGGGATGAAGTAGGGCAGACTATGGGCAAGCAGGAGGGCTCCTCCAACTTCCAAATTCCTCTGCTGCCTTCTCTGACAACTTCTCCTCTTTCCTCCCTCATCTGCATCCTGATGTCACATCTTCTCGCTCCCTTCTTGCCACAAAGTATTTCTTTTTCTCATTGATCCTGGGTGAAGAGGACATGAGTGTGAGACAGAGGCTAAAAGTGAGGGAATGTGGTTGACTTAGATCTGCCCACCAACCCAGAGAGCTTAGAGATCCAAGCTGGGCCACAGATTTCTCATTTGTCCATCCATCCCTCTATCAGTCTGTCTATTCATCCATCCATTCATCAGCAGACATTTATTAAGGTCCTACTCTGTGCTGGTCATGTACTAGAGGTGCTGGGAATATGGGAAAGAATATGACTTGGATCCTGACCTCAAGGAGTTTATAATCTAGTGGGTAAACCAATATCAGGGCCCCTATGTCTTTCAGAGGCATGAGGGAAGGGGTATAGAGGACAGTGAGCAGACAAAGAATGAATGCTTAATTCTCTTTTCCATGGAAGAGGGTACAGGGTCAAGAAAGTTTTCTTAGAGAAAGTGAGATAGGAATGAAAGATGAGTGAGAGTTGGCCAGGAAGCAAGGAGAAGGGGCAAGATCCTGTTACCCAGGGAACATTGTTACCCGGGGAACTGCAAGTTCATCCGCAGAGCTGACACCTAGGATGAAAGACCAAGTCCTATGAGGGTTGGGGCTGGCCGGCAGGCAGGGACCAGAAGAACATGGCAGCCATTGTCAACCATTTGAAGGAGGGTGGACTGTCCTGAGGGCAATGGGAGCCTTAAAGGATCTTAAATAGGGAAATGACATGGTCAGTTCAAAAGTATTTAAGAAGATGCTGAGTCCCTATGAAGGCTAGATGAGAAGGAGGTAAGACACGAGCCAGGGGGGCCCATTAGGAGATGATCCCAGGAGCCCAGGAAAGAGATGATGGCAGGCAGTAGCCCTGGGGCTGAAAAGTAGGTGTTGGATTTAAGAGTTGTTGAGGACACAGAATCTGCTAGACTTGGTGACCAATTGGTTTCTGGAGGTGGGATCCAGAGTACAGCAGAAAGGGAGGGAGGAGTCAGGGATGGCTCTTGGCTTCTGGGTTGGACAACTCACTAAGATAATTAATTCAGGTGGAGCTGTGGGGTGAGGGGCAGGGAGGGGTAGTGAATTCCGTTTCAGATTGGTTGGATTTGAGATGCTTGAGGAACATCCAAGCAGAAGTGTCCGTTAGGCAGCTGGACACCAAGGGCAGAAGAGAGACCAGGGTTTGAGATGGAGATGTGAGGGTCTTCAGTCTGGAAAGAGCTTGAGAACAAGAGCAGGTTCAGGACACCAGGGACACACACAGTTGATGGTGACTGAGAGCCCACAAAGGAAATCATTCCCAGGAATAATCAGAGATGTAGGAAGAGGACCCACGACATGGAGGCCAAGGGAGAGAGAGTTTCAAGGAGGAGGGTTCCATGACATACCCAGGCTGGGCCTCCTTTCTGCGAGGCCAGGGGAGACTGGAGCGGCGCGGAGACACCCAGGAGAGAAAATGCATAGAAGGTTCAAGAAAGGCCAGGGTTGGTAGGTTGAAGTTATAGTACTCCCTCCCCTTTCCCATACCCCAGAAAATGTGAGACTGGTTCCCGAGAGTCCTTCTTGGAGGGGTTGAGGATTCTGTGCAGTGCTAAAGAAATGAATTTGGGGAATAGAAAGATTCAAGGAGTAAAGACTTCAGGGCACAGATTAAAATATTTTTCAACAAGCGTTGCCTTTCATACTTCCCAGGGGGACTTCAAAGCCATCTCCTAGCTGCAGTGGAACCCAAAGAAAAGCAAGGCTGCTTAGTTAGATCACTATAATTTAGAGGATCCAGGGCTAGCCTTGCCCTTTGAATCTCAGCTCTGCCTTCAATCATTAAAACTAATCTGAATAACTAATTATTGAGCACCAACTGCATGTCAGACACTTGACACCATCATCTCCCTTAATCTTCACCAGAACTGAAGACATGAGGACTATTTTAGCCCCTCTTTTGCATGCGAGGTAACCAAGCCTCAGAGCAGCAACCAAGTTAAGGGGCTGTGACTATAACCTAGATCAGTTTTCTTCCCACGTGACATGAGGGGTCAGACTACCCCATATGCTCTCAGA